AGTTGATAGCTGTTTTAACAGTATCAATAAGTTTGTCACTAGCACCTAATGCACCTCCTCAAGCAACACCAATATCAGCTGAAGATTGAGCAGTAGTAAATGGTGTAGTTCCACTTGGAGTTCCATATGTAGTTGCAGAAGCGAATCATACAATTCACATGATAGCTGTTGCACCCATAATGAGTACCTTCGCAATTGTTTGTTTCATGAGACAGACAATAAAAATTAAAATACATGTATCATATATGCATGTATGATCTAATTGCAAGCGAAAAGTATTTAATTATAGTGGAGGCGTGATCGATATATTTATTTTGCTATGGTAAAAAATAATGACGACAATGTCTCTAATACAAAAAGTACATACGTATTGTGATGTGAATGAAATACCCAATGCAGAAAGATATGATATGCTTGCTGATTTGATACTTACTATTATGCAAACTAATAGTATTACAGATATCCAAGCATGGAATACAGATGATTTTCTTGTACAATGAATGCGAGATCTAGCCCATTGAACTATTGATGATGAAGCTTTTTTTATCATAGGTGATATTTCATCAACAACTGTTCTCAAGACACCAAGACCACATCTTGATGCTGTAGAAAAGATAGTTGCAGATATGAAAAAAAATACTCTTTACGTAATAGATGCATCAGCAAAAATTGCATATGAGCATAATAATAAAGATTATGATACTATCGTAAAAACATTACACAAAAACAACAGTGATATAATTGCTATAGCATAGAACAAGTATGTGTTATACTGAATTACCATATGATCTTATACTTTTGTTCTGCTATGTGATTGTCTCGAGGGGCGTTGCGACTATATAAGAAAGTGTTTTACTCATCATCATCAGTCCCTAAATCTCTTGGCTTTCCAAGCATTTGTGCTTGATGATCAAGGATAAGAGCATTGATAATATCATCAAACTGTCACATCATAATTCCAGGAATATTCCCTCGTGATTGCTTGATTCTATGGTCTGTCACGCGGTCTTGAGGATAGTTGTAGGTTCTGATCTTTTCAGATCTTTCACCACTACCTATTTGAATACCTCTTGCAGCTCTTTCTTCAGCAGTTTTCTTATCCATTTCTGCTTGATATAATCTTGCCTTGAGTACAGACCATGCTTTTTCTTTATTTTGCATTTGTGATTTACTGTCTCAGATTGTTACGATTAATCATGTTGGATTATGATGCAATCTCACTCATGTTTGATTCTTGTTTGCATTTTGTCCACCAGATGATGATGCTGCATATGTATCCATTGTAACGTCATTTGGATCTAGTTTGAAATCAACATCTTCTACTTCTGGCATAATCGCAACAGTAATAGTAGAAGTGTGTACACGACCTTGAGATTCTGTTGCAGGAATTCTTTGTACACGATGCACACCTGATTCATATTTCAATTTTGAATACACGCTATCGCCACTTATTTTGATCATCACAAATTTTACTCATCCGATATCAGAATATTGATTTTCAATGATTTCTGTCTTCCAACCTTGTATTTGCGCATAAAGCATATATGCTTTTAATAATTCTGCAGCAAAAAGTCATGCTTCATCTCATCAAGCAGCAGGTCTAATTTCTAGGAAAATATCTTTGTCGTCATTTGGATCTTTAGGAATGAGAGCTACTTTCAGGTCTTCTTCAATTCTAGGAAGATCTTGCTGCGCAGCAGCAAGTTGCTCTTTGGCAAGAGCAATCATGTCTGGATCACTCTCTGTCGCAAGCAGCTCTTCAGCCTCTTTTTTTTGTGCATCAGCTTTCTTGTATTCTTGAAAAAGGTTATATGCATCCTGCATACTTAAGAGTTTTTTATTAATCTCTCTAGATTTTTGTTGATCTGTCGCAATCACAGGATCATACATTTGTGCTTGTAGATCAAGGTATGCTTTCTCAATGGATTCTAATTTATCAAACATGGGGTAATTAAGGATTAAGGGTTAAGATGGTGTTAGTAGAATATTTGGCTCAGTAAGATGAAAATGACAGAAATAATTTTTCCA